AAGGATATGATGGATTTGGAGAAACAGGAAAGCAAGACAAAACAAAAAAATCAACATTGAGATTATCATTTACGAATATTACCGTTCCAGCAGTAGGCTTTGAGGATAGGAAAGTATGATGCTTCATGCGTGACAACCCAAAATCACAGACCTGAACAGAGAAGCAAATCGGGGGGAAATGGAGAGGCACATTTCTGTAGAAAATAAAGCAATCTGTTAAAGTTGCTTAAATAAACTACAAGCAAAATCAAGATGCTTGGGAAGAAAGTAGTTTTGAGATAAAGAAAAAATGGAGGTTTGGTGTTTTCAAATCTCGATGCACCATAGTAGGATTGCTTGTGTGCAAATAATTCATTCCTTTTGCCTGCAAACGAAAAAAAAGCTCCACTTCAACTATTTGAAAACACATGCAGGGAGAAGCGTGGAAGGAAGAGGGTCCGAGTGGGGAAAGTAACTTATGCACTTGTGGTTCCTACCACATCAAGAGCCATTCCCATTCTTCTTTTCTCATTGAGTTGAATATTGGATCGAAGCTGCAGCTTATACAAACTTCCCCTGCATAACGAGGGAGGGGCAAGAAGAAATTAAGACGGGATGACCAACCTTGTCGTTTTAAATTAATCAATTTCTCAATAGAAACTAGATCAACAATAGAGAGATTCAGAAATTTATCTGAATATAAATGAAAACTCAGACCTAGAGAATGATTCCTCGTTTTTCATACACAGAAAAGCACAAGATGCAAGCACCAAGTACCATACATTGCAGTAAATGTATCAAAAACCTGGCATAAGGACAAAATATGGACAACATTCTGATCGGCACAGACTACAGGGTACAAGAATTAAGATTATTTTCAGGATTCATCCTTTAAAACTAGAAGGAAACCAACATGAAGTTCAAAATGGCAGCTACATAGCCCGTGACAAATAAAACAGAATGCAAACAAGGTTCATTTACTAATTATGAAAGATATAAGAGTATGAACAGAACTATTTGACTTGTACAAATAAAACAGAATGCAAACAAGGTTCAATTGCAAGTACTAATCACAGGTCGGACCGTGTTCATTGGGGTTGAAATTTATGGGGATGACTTTCTGCTTCATATCCTACTTTTTCTGTTCTATTGTTTTTTTGGGTAAACTACATAAATGACCACACCACTATGGTTGTCTCTAAATTACCATCATTTTTAAATTTGTGTCAATATGACCACTGAACTATTTAAATGATTTCAATATAGCCACCTGCCGTTAACATTTAGCGGAGGTGTTTACATGGCTGTTAACAAAAGTTGTATAACTAGGGCGTGAGCCCTTGTAAAATTACGTATTCGCGACTCTGGAATCCTACTTTGTTTTCTTCCATTTTTGTCACTATTTCTGTATGGTTTGTTTCCTTAGGTTTTCATTTAATACAATTTTAGCATTAACTTTAAAATCTTTTATTCTAGTCATTTATTAAATATATAGATTAAATCACCTAGATTTTAAAATTAATCAATTTGATCACCAAGATTAACTTTAATTCTTAATTTTTAATTAGGTCCTAATTTCAATTTAATTTAAGAAATTAATTTCTCCAATCAAATTGTGATATGTGTCACATTTTGAATTGAAGTAAAAATAAGTGAAGATGAGGAGTTTTGACATCCAAGGGAATCCAACTTGGGTCTCGAGTGAAAATTTTAAAGTTAATGCTCAAATTAAGACATTAGACAAATTAAAAACAAAATCATGATGAAATTTCATTAACTGAAAATCCAAGGAAACAAATCATATACAAGTAGTGACCAAAATGGATGAAAACAAAGCAAGGTGTCAGTGTCGTGAATACATAACTTTACAAGGACATGCGCCCTAATTATACCAATTTTGTTAACTCCACATAAATAATTCCGTTAAATGTTAACGACATGTGGCTATATTAGAACCACTTAAATAGTTCAATAGTCATGTTGAAACAAATTTGAAAATGATGGTAATTTCGAGACCAAACCCATAATTCGGTGGTCATATTTGTAGTTTACCCTTTTCTTTTTTGGTCTTGCAACAGTAGAAGCCAATCACCAATCCAACTATTACTTCTGGACTTACTTTTAAAATACGCAAATGTAAAAAGTCCATTGAACTTAAGCGCAAGATAAAGACACGTTTTGTAGACGAGACATACATTTTGTAAAATACTAGAATTTTTTATTATTTTATTCAAAATATTATACAACTTTTACTTTAATATTTTATATCGAATTAATAATGATTTGTTTTAATTGATATAAGAATAAGAATATATTACTAAAAAAAAGTATATGGAAATACAAATTGTATAAATATATTTTATTAATATTATAACTATATAATATTATAATTATAAAAATAATTATAAAATAATTATAAAAATAGTTATATATATTTTTTATTTATCTATATATTAAATACTTCTTATATAAAGCAGAGTGAGAGACATTAGGCGGTAATATAATGTTTATTATATTAATTTATTATATGAGATTGAATTGGGATTTTTAAATTGGAAACCTAAGAGATTTAATTTTTAAACAAAGTCACCAACTGAGACTTGCACTTCACACTTTGGACAGCATTCTGTACACAGCAGGCCCAAAAAAAGAGCTTGAAATTATACAAACTAATGGGAACAAGTGATAAGAACATGCAAATCAAGGAAATGCAGAATCAGAACAGGAAACAAGGGGGGGGGGGAAAGGGAGTAATTCCATTCGGAGCCTTTAGGATGTATAACTGCTGGAGTAGAGCAATTGGCTTAGTGTTATCCTGTGAAACAGCTCCAGTGAGGGTGGGATTACGAACCGACAGCTCCCGAGAAACTTGCTGCATACTCGGTCGAGATTGTGGACTGGCATGTAAGCATTGTGATGCTACTTTTACAATGGAGACCACTTCTGCTGCTGTTTGTCTCTCGGAGATGGAAGTCGTGGTCTAACAGATCTTCACTAGTAAATGACCGAAGGCTGATGACGATGAGCATGATGGAGAGTGAAGAGAACGATGACGAAATGAAAGATATCAGATCTCCGGGATGCCTTCCCATAAGCGTTTCCAATGTCACCACTCCAAAGCTAAACACATCGCATTTTTCATTGATGTGCATTGTATAAGCAAGCTCTACAAAAGAATAAGCATGCTCAAGTACACGATTAGGACTTCAGATTGTGTCCAACAATTTGCTTCCACTAAATTCAGAACAATTACAGCATAAAAGAATGAAAAAACATACCTGGAGCCGAGTAACCAAAAGTGCCTTCAAAATGGGTCCAATTGATGAGTCGGGCTTTAGAAGCCTAGCAGCGCCAAGTCTGCAACGTGAGCCACATAGTCTGATCGAGCAGAATATCTTGCTTGAAATGTCCCGATGGACTAGGGGAGCAGTCATGGTGCATATAAGACATAGCATTAGCCAAGCCTTTAACACATTTACCTCTTCTTCCAATCAAATTCCCTCGCTTGTTCATCACTCTTTAGTATCTTCTCCAGGCTCCCCCCTTCCAAGAACTCGTATACCAAAAATGAGTGTCGGGGATGGGAACAGAAACCATGAAGCTTCAGAATATTCAGATGGCGTATTTCGGTCAAGGCCTGGATCTCGCTGTTAAAAGCTTTTTGTTCTACCACCACATCTTCTGAAAGTTGGTGAAGCCTTTTCACAGCAACCATTTGACCATTAGACAATTGTGCCTTGTAAACGCTTCCGTATCCCCCTACTCCAATGCAGTATTTGGAATCAAACTCTTCAGTTGCTTCGACGATGTTTTCGTACACCATTTTCCCATCAAAGTTGAAAACTGCAAACTATCATCACTTACTACAACCTGTGGCGTGTTCTCGTGCTTTTCTCTTCGTTTTGAAGAATAAAGAATCCCAAGGACAATGGATACAAGTAGTAGTGTGCATGAAATAGGGACTACAATTGCAATCACAATTTTAATTTTCTTCTTCTGATCAGCAGTATGGTTTAAATTTGATGAACATGATTCCAACCCTGTGATATTTCCGCACAAGCCTTTGTTGTTTCTAAAAGCCTCAAATGAAGCCTCTCGAAAGGCCTTGGCATGTGGAAGAGGGCCCTCCAACTGATTGTGGGATATATCAATAGATGTTAAGCTTAACATACCATCAAAAGTTGAGGGAATGCGACCGAAGAGCTTATTGTGAGAGAGGTTCAGCTTTTCTAATGATTTCAAGTTCCCAACTTGCTCCGGCATTTTACCAATCAACAAATTGTGACTGAGATCAAGAACTTGAAGAAAAGACAAGCTACCAACCTCAAAAGGAATTCCTCCTCTGAATCCATTGGCACTCAGATTTAGTTCCAAGAGTTTCTTGCAGTCGCTAAACCATGGTGGAATGGAACCATTTAAGTTGTTTGCAGCCAAGTTAAGACCCTCAAGGTCAGAAAACATTTTGAGTTCTGAAGGAATAGTGCCTGAGAGATGATTATCATTCAACATAAGCTTGAACAAGAATTTCAGCTGTCCCAACTCCTTTGGAATGCCTCCAGTTAGATGATTTGAAGAAAGATCACATACTCGTAGCTGAGTTGCCTTTCCAAGTTCTGAGGGAATCTCACCGGATATATTATTGTTCGAGAGCCTTAGAAATGTTAGATTGTGGCATTGACCCCATTTTGATGACAGCTCACCAACCAATTTATTATCACTCAGATCAAGATAATCCAGGTTGGGGTATATGCCTAAATCTTCCGATACATTCCCTGTGAGTTGATTGTGTCCAAGCCGAAGTCTGTGTAAGCTGGTACAGTTCTTCATGCTCTTAGGGATTGGACCTGTGAAATAGTTGTTATCTGCAGTAAATCTTTCAAGAACTCCGCCAAGGCACACTTGTTGTGGTAAACGGCCAGTCAAGTAGTTTTCACTGAGTCCAAGTTTCTTTAAACTTGTAAGATTGTTCATCTCTGCTGAAATGAAACCACTGAGACTGTTGTTAAACAGCCTTAAGTTAACAAGAGAACCTAGCATCCCAATTTCTTTTGGTATGGACCCCAAAATTTTATTGCTAGAAAGATAAAGATCAGATAAATCGGTTAAATTTCCGATTTCTTTAGGTATGGACCCTGAAATTTTATTGTTAAAAAGGCTAAGATAAGATATGTTGGCCAAATTTCCAACAGATGGAGGGAGAGAACCGATCAGATTATTTTCAGCGAGGTCAAGTTCATTCAAGGACTTCAACATTCCAATTTGTTGAGGTATAGAACCAGAGAGAGCATTTTTGTACAAGTAAAGAAACAGCAGGTCTGTCATGTTTCCTATAGAAGCAGGAATTTCACCAGAAAGATGATTGGAAGACAAGTCGAGGTATGTTAATCTCGGTAGCTTACCAACATCTGATGGAATGGTTCCACTGAGATGATTGGAACTTAGATCAACCACAGTAAGTTTGGGGAAAGAAGAGAAGTTAAAACCATGAAGCGTACCTTTCAAACCGGAACTCGAAAGGTTTAAATGGCCGACACGTGTAGACTTGTCACAAATGATCCCGGTCCAGTCACAGGGGCCATTTCCATCCCAAGAAGAGAGGAATGACTGGCTTTGAGCATCAAGACTGGCCTTCCATTTTAGAAGAGCATCGGCTTCCTTCTGTCCTGCCGATGATTCATCTCTAAAAGTGGCAGAAACAGAAGCAAAGACATGGCAAGAAGAAAGCAGCAGCAGGGTAAAGAAGAAGACCCTGAATGATGAAGATGTTAACTTGTTGGCAAAAGGTATCATGGCTTAAAATTGCGGGGGGGGGGGGGAAGTATCGGTTACACTCAACTATAAAGGGAAATTAGTTGCTGTGAATATGATTAAGAACGAAGAATAAGTATTACATCTGTAGCTAAGTTACTTTTCCATAGACTTTGACATTTCAAGCATTCAGCCAACCGGGTCGCACCTTCTTCATCGGGGTTGAAACTTATGGGGGTGACCACCAGCTTCATATCCTGCTTTTTGAGTACCATTATTTTCAGCCTTTTCATCTTCTGAAATAACCTTAACATAGGGCTTCCCTCAACTGACATCTTCCTAGAGCTTCCAATAATCTCAGAAAATCTGAATGTATTAGTATACTCGTCTAATAACTTGAGCGACAACATTTCGATTCCTGCTGAGAGATGATTATCATTCAGCATTTCAGCTGTCCCAACTCAGATGATTTGAAGAAAAATCGCGTACTAATAGCTGAGTAGGGGTGTTCAAAAGTTCTGTTAACCGATAAAACCGATCAATCAAATTTTTTCTGTTAATCAGTCAATTAATTTTAGGTTCGGTCAATTAAGGGTTAATGATTTTTTTAAAAGTTTTGTTATTGGTTAATTCGATTCGAAATCGGTTAATAAATTGAATTAACCAAATTTTTTAAATATTTAATATATTATTTTTATTAATAGCTTTTGAAGTGTTTAAATTATTTGTTAGATTCGATTAATTATTTTCGAAAAAAAAATTAGTTCGATTACTTTCGATTATTGGTTCGATCAGTTAATTTAACGGACCATTGAATACCCCTAGAGCTGAGTTGCTTTCCAAGTTCTCAGGGTTTATCCTTTTCCCTTTCTTTTACATGTTTTTTTCCAAGCAAAAAAATCATGAAATCAAAATAAATTTTAGACCAAATTCACACCTAACGTATTTAAATATTTAAATCTGAAACCTACACCTTACTATTAATATATAATTTTATTTTAAATTCGATAAATAAAAAGATACATGTAAACAAGTATGTATTTATTTTTCTTTTTTTTCTTTCTTTTTATCCTTTTTGGTAACTTTCTTACACTTGACAAAGGCTCTCTACCTATTCATGATACTAAAACACGTATTTTCGAGTTGTATCCTCCATTTTGCTTTACTTTAAAGAGGATTGGATCCACTCTTCTATCTTTAGGATTGGGTAAATGTGCTGATCCCCCACTTCGAATGAGCCAACACTTTCCCCGACTCCCGACTCTTAACTTTCTTTGCACTTTAAACAACAGAAAAAAAAAATCCGGCTGCCTCGATCTTCGACCGAGGAAAACAGCTGATCGAGCACTTATTACACATCAAACACTGCAGTGTACCTTATCGTTCGATAACCTGATTTGTCCCGTTTTGCCTTTCGATGTGCAGATGTTGAAGTCGTCGTAGGCGGAACATTAGCTGTGCAAATGATGGTCGTAGGTGTGGCTCCCTGGCATGAAAGGAAACGGCAACAAAGAGGATTAATGCAAAATTTCCAACAATGCAGGCCACTAAAATATACGAGCTGACTAAGAAGGCTATCGGAAGGTTCGTTAGAGTTACAGCATTTTGACTTGATGCATGCAAAACACTCCCATCTTGTCTGATGCTTATATGGTTGCCCAAGAGACAAGAGACCGATTGAACATTCAAAAGAAATTGGTGGAAGCAAAGAAAGATCCGTGAAAACAGTTTTAAAATCATTCTCGTTGTATAGAAAAAAGATGCGACATGAATAGCATCAAACTCACGTTTGCCAACAATCTCGTATGATCTGTGCAACCATCGGATCAATGTCTTCGGGGATTTCTAGATGCTTATTTTGGAATTCAACAGCTCCGACAACTTGCATTGGATTCAAACCTTTCCAGGGAATGCATAGAGTAGCCAATTCCCATAATATCACGCTGAAACTGTACACATCACATCTGCAGCCAAACCAGTCTATTTGTAAGAAACATAATAGATACATCAAAGAGTAAAAACATTCTATTTCACAATTAAAGTGACTTCTCATTGGCCGGCTCATTCCTTAAAATTTCCAGTGCCATCCTGTCACGATGGAAGGGGAGTTAGGGTTTGAAGGTTTTAATTTGGGGAAAAATCGAAGAAAGAAGTTGGGGAATCATCAGCAGAAAGGGGGAGAGGAGAGAAAGGAATTAGGGATTGAAGGGGATTAGGGATTGAAGTTTTATCTGAAGAGGGAAAGGCAAAATAAGGACAGGAGAATGGGTCATACGGGATTGGGTATGGGTTAATAAGGTAACTGGGCTTTATTACTTAGACCCAATTAATATCAGTAGGCTTATGAGTTAAAGGGTGGGGCAGGTCTGGATCTAAGTCAGAAGTGAGAGGGATGGAAGGGTGAGTCATCATTTTAGACGGTTAATTTGTTAGATTGCTGAATTGCCAGCTGGAGGTACTGTCTATATATAATTGTACCCAGAATCTTTGAGGATTTTATCTTATGAAATGAAAATGCACACTTTCTGTAACCTATTCTCTCTATTTTCTTAAATCCTTAAAAAATTCTTCTATCATTCTATCCTAAACCATAACAAATTGGTAATCAGAGCTGAGTTCTGTGATCCAAACCATTTTTCACGCTGGGAAAGACAAGAAAGATGCAAAAGACTGGAACCATTGAGGTACCAGAACAAGCAGCAGAAGTGAAGGAAGAGACCTTACCATGGTGGGGGGGCAGAAAGCAGAGCTGGAGGGAAGGATACAGACCTTGGAGGAAGGAATGACTGAGAACCGGGGATATTTGCAGAGAATCCTACAGCTGGTCAATCAAGCAGCTGAGGAAAAAGACTCACCTCAGTCAGCAAGAAGTCATCCACCAAAGCTGAAAAACAAAACAGAGGTGAAGGTAAACAACCATGTTTAGTTACAGTTCTTAGTGAGCATGAGAAGTATACTTTTAGACCTAATGAACGGGGATATTAGCTGATAAACCTGCGGGGTCTACTGATCTTCTACCTTTAATCAGAAATTGCAAGAGAAAATATTATGGGCAGTTCTAGTGAGGTTAAGTAGACAGTAAAGGTTTATTTGGGAGTTCAGGGCTTATGTTACCTCGACCTAAATTAGAACTACAGATGTTTGATGGTAGTAATCCCAGAGGATGGGTGAGAAAATGCCAAAAATACTTAATCTTTTTGGAGTCCCTGAGGAACAAAAATTGGATGTGGCTGCAATGTATTTGATGGGGAAGGCTGTGACATGGTTTGATGGCTATATTTGCAGAAGCATAGAGTGACTTGGCATGAATTTGAGGCTGATTTGTGTCATAGATTTTGTGACAAAACTATTCAGATATCATTGAAGAATTTAATAAGTTAATGCAAAGGGTAGTGTAGAAGAATATCAAGAAAAGTTGAAGAGTTAAGACCCTATTTGCTACAACAGCATATGCATTTAGGGGAAGATTATTTTGTTTCCAGTTTCATTAGTGGTCTGAAGGAGGAATTGAAACATAAGGTGAAGGTGTTGGAGCCCAGAAATCTGTCTGAGGCTTACAGGCAGGCCAAACTTTATGAGTTGGCTAATGAGATGGAAGGAAAGAAGTATAAATATTCTCAAAAACTTTTTCCTTATACTTCTTCAGGTGGTCAACAGAACAGTGGGACTAAAAGTTGCAGCCTAAGACAACTCTTCCAAATTCGAATACAAGGCAGAGTTTACTGGAATATAGAAGAGCAAATATCTGTGTTTTAAATGTGGGGAAAAATTTACTCCTGGACATCAGTGCAAAGTTAGACAGTTGAACAATATGGAAGAGGAAGAAGATTCTGCTGATCAGGAATTGACAGAAGGAGAAAATGGAGAAGGGAATGATGTAGCTAAAGAAGCACTGGAAATTTCTATCAATGCTATTACAGGTAATGTGGGGCACACTACCTTGAGAATTCAGGGTTTTATCAGAGGAAAACCAATTAATGTGCTAATTGATAGTGGAAGCACACATAGTTTTGTGACTCCTAGGTGGGCCAAAGAAGGAGTGGAACTTGTTCAGACTCAACCATTAGTTATTACAGTAGCTAATGGGGAGAAGCTATTCAGTACTGCCAAAAGTATCAAGTAGTTGGAAGATGCAAGGCTATGAATTTCAGCATGATTTTAGAGTTTTGTCTTTAGGGGGCAGTGATATGGTACTGGGAGTGGACTGGATGGAAGAGTTTAGTCCTATAATGATGGATTTCAAAGCCAAGACAATTAGTTTGAAAAGGATGGAAGACTGTTATGATTAGAGGAACTCAGAAATTGCCAACCATCAAAACCATCTCAGGTGAAAAATTACAGAAGTTAGTGGAGAAGGATACTGAAATAAATGGAGAAATCTATTTGTGAATGCTGAAGTGGAGGAAAGTAAAATTCCTCTATCTTTACAGATTTATTAGAAGAGTTCCAGGAAGTGTTTGAGGAACCTAAAGGGATGCCTCCAAGCAGAAGACATGATCATGCCATTGTTCTGAAACAGGGGACAGCCAGTCAATTTAAGACCCTATAGATTTGCTCATCATCACAAGACTGAAGTTGAAAACAGATTGCACAATGTTAGCTCATCTATCATACAAGTGAGTAAGAGTCCTTTGCTTCTCCTTGTTACTTATTAGAAAAAAGATGGAACTTGGAGGTTTGTGTGGACTATAGGCAGCTTAACTCTTATACAGTTAAGAATAAATCCTATTCCTATAGTAGAAGACTTATTAGATGAATTACATGGGCTAAATTCTTTTCAAAGATTGATTTGAGATCTGGTTATTGGCAAATTCGGATTAAAGAGGAGGATGTTCATAAAACTGCTTTTAGAACTCATCAAGGGCACTATGAATTTAAAGTTATGCCTTTTGGCCTGACTAATGCCCCAGCTACTTTTCAAGCTTTGATGAATGACTTGTTTGGAGCATATTTGAGGAGGTTGTTCTTGTGTTTTTTGATGATATTCTGATTTACAGTTCCAGTATGATAGAGCATAAAAATCATTTAAGAGTGGTGTTGGAAATTCTGTTGAAGAATAGTTTGTATGCCAAAAGAGTAAATGCTTTTTTGGCCAACAGCAAGTAGAGTATTTGGGACATTTAATTTCAGCTAAGGGAGTAGCAACTGACCTGAAAAATAAAGGCTATGCAACAGTGGCCTTTACCTAAAACCTAAAAGCTTTGAGAGGATTTTTGGTTTGACAGGGTATTATAGAAAATTTATCAAAGGGTATGGAGAATTGAGTAAACCCTTGACTAATATGTTGAAAAAGGAAGGATTTCATTGGTCTCCAGAGGCTAAATTATCTTTTGAGAATTTAAAAAGGGTTATGTGTGAAGCTCCAGTTTTGGTTTTACCAAATTTTGAGCAGAATTTTTTTTTGGAAACTGATGCTAGTTCCAGGGGCATTGGGGCTGTTTTATCTCAAGCAGGAAGGCCTATAGCTTATTTAAGTAAGGCTTTGGGGCCAAAGCATGCATACCTCTCTATCTATGAAAAGGAATACTTGGCCATCCTAATGGCAGTATCCCATTGGAGGCATTATTTGGAAAGTGGCTCATTTGTGATTAAAATAGATCATGAACCCCTAAAACACTTATTAGAACAAAAGCTGACTACTACAATCCAAAAGAAAGGTCTGACTAAGTTACTTGGATTGGATTATACAATTCAGTACAGGAAAGGCAAAACAATAAGGTGGCAGATGCACTTTCTAGACAGCGATTGGATTCTGGGGAATTTTTGCAAATGGGGTTACTGTTGTAATTCCTACTTGGAGACAGGATATTGAGCAGAGTTATGAAGGGGATCTACTAGCTCAAGAGAAGATTCCTATTTTACTTATTCAGCCTGACAAGATTGAGAATTGGAAGAGAATTAAAGGAGTTTTATACTTCAAAGACAGAATTTATGTGGGCAGCAAAGGAGATCTCAGGCAGAAAATTATGGTGGCTTCACATGATTTACCACAAGGGGGTCATTCAGGTATTCAAGCTACTTATCAGAGGGTTAAAGCTTATTTTTATTGGCCAAAGATGAAGCTTATGATTCAAGAATATCTACAACAATGTGAGGTTTGTCAGAGAACTAAAATTGAACACATTTCTAAGCCAGGTTTACTACAACCTATTCCAGTTCCAAATAATGCATGGGAAGTTATAACAATGGACTTTATTGAAGGGTTGCCACCTTCAACAAAGTACAATTGTATTTTGGTAGTGGTTGACAAATTTACTAAGTATGCTCATTTTATGCCATTGTCACATCCCTACACAGTGGTACAAGTTGCTAAGCTGTATTTGGATCAGGTTTATAAGCTTCATGGTCCTCCTAAGGTAGCTATTTCTGATCGGGACAAGTCTTTTACTAGTCTATTCAGGCAAGAGCTACTTAAACAATTGGGGACAACTACACTTTTCAGTACTGCTTATCATCCAGAGACAGATGGGCAAACTGAGAGACTCAACCAGTGTTTAGAACAGTATCTCAGATGTATGTGTTTTTTAAAACCTACATCTTGGTCAAAGTGGTTAGCCCAAGCAGAATGGTGGTATAACACTAATTACCACTCTGCTATACAAATGACCCCATTTGAAGCCTTATATGGTTATAAGGCACCTCTTCTGAGTTGGTCAGGGGATTCTAGAGTGGATGCAGTACAAACTATGATGCAAGATAGAGAGCAATTTAATGCTTTACTACGTGAACAGCTACTTAAAGCCAGTAACAGAATGAAGCAGATTGTAGATAGGCATCGTACAGAAAGGGATTTTCAGGTTGGAGAGGAAGTTTACCTGAAACTTCAGCCTTACAGACAGACATCAATCGCCTTAAGGAAAAACCTAAAGCTTGCTGCTCGATATTACGGTCCCTACAAAATACAGAAAAAAATTGGTCAGGTTGCGTATCAACTGGAATTGCCAAATGATTCTAAATTACATCCAGTGTTTCATGTTAGCTTATTGAAGAAGAGAATCGGAAAACAGGGACTTATCTTGCTGAATCCTCCTGAAACATCTTCAGATGGTCAATTGAAAATTTACCCAGCAACCGTGTTGAACCGACGCGTGGTGACACGACAGAAGCAGAATGTTACTCAACTGTTGATTCAGTGGAAGAACATGGGACCAAATGATGCAACGTGGGAAGATGCTTCAGTGTTGCAGAACCAGTTTCCCGATTTCGATCCTTGCGGACAAGGATCGTTTGATGGAGGAGGTATTGTCACGATGGAAGGGGAGTTAGGGTTTGAAGGTTTTAATTTGGGGAAAAAATCGAAGAAGGAAGTTGGGGAATCATCAACAGAAAGGGGGAGAGGAGAGAAAGGAATTAGGGATTGAAGGGGATTAGGGATTGAAGTTTTATCTGAAGAGGGAAAGGCAAAAATAAGGACAGGAGAATGGGTCATACGGGATTGGGTATGGGTTAATAAGGTAACTGTGCTTTATTACTTAGACCCAATTAATATATCAGTAGGCTTATGAGTTAAAGGGTGGGGCAGGTCTGGATCTAAGTCAGAAGTGAGGGATGGAAGGGTGAGTCATCATTTTAGACGGTTAATTTGTTAGATTGCTGAATTGCCAGCTGGAGGTACTGTCTATATATAATTGTACCCAGAATCTTTGAGGATTTTATCTTATGAAATGAAAATGCACACTTTCTGTAACCTATTCTCTCTATTTTCTTAAATCCCTAAAAAATTCTTCTATCATTCTATCCTAAACCATAACACATCCATTTAGGCTGCAGTTCAACAACAAACTTTTACTTCAAGAAAAGGATATGATGGATTTGGAGAAACAGGAAAGCAAGACAAAACAAAAAAATCAACATTGAGATTATCATTTACGAATATTACCGTTCCAGCAGTAGGCTTTGAGGATAGGAAAGTATGATGCTTCATGCGTGACAACCCAAAATCACAGACCTGAACAGAGAAGCAAATCGGGGGGAAATTGAGAGGCACCTTTTCTGTAGAAAATAAAGCAATCTGTTAAAGTTGCTTAAATAAACTATAAGCAAAATCAAGATGCTTGGGAAGAATGTAGTTTTGGGATAAGAACCTTTACGACCCAGTTCTTATCAACAAGGAGGTTTGGTGTTTTCAAATCTCGATGCACTATAGTAGGATTGCTTGCGTGCAAATAATTCATTCCTTTTGCCTGCAAATGACAAAAAAGCTCCACTTTAACTATTTGAAAACACATGCAGGGAGAAGCATGGAAGGAAGAGGGTCCGAGTGGGGAAAGTAATTTATGCACTTGTGGTTCCTACCACATCACGAGCCATTCGCATTCTTCTTTTCTCATTGAGTTGAATATTGGATCGATGCAGCAGCTTATACAACTTCCCCTGCATAACGAGGGAGTGGCAAGAAGAAATTAAGACGGGATGACCAACCTTGTCGTTTTAAATTAATCAATTTCTCAATAGAAACCAGATCAACAATAGAGAGATTCAGAAATTTATCTGATTATAAATGAAAACTCAGACCTAGAGAAGGATTCCTCGTTTTCATACACAGAAAAGCACAAGATGCAAGCACCAAGTACCATACATTGCAGTAAATGTATCAAAAACCTGGCATAAGGACAAAACATGGACAACATTCTGATCGGCACAGACTACAGGGTACAAGATTTAAGATTATTTTCAGGATTCATCCTTTAAAACTAGAAGGAAACCAACATGAAGTTCAAAATGGCAGCTACATAGCCCGTGACAAATAAAACAGAATGCAAACAAGGTTCATTTACTCATTTACTAATTATGAAAGATATAAGAGTATGAATAGATACAATTAAACATGAATATAAAGAATTCAAACAGTTAAGCTAGCTTCTCTTCTTAAATCAATAGCACCAAAAAGTAGGCATAACTTATTTCACAATCATAATTTGCAGCTACCCAATCCAGAATACTTGCACCATCCTGTTCAGATAGAATATGAACCATACTGGATTGGCCTCTAGAAGTATGCTAAACTGAATGCCAGTGTAGGCAGAGATACAATATATACTGATAAATGATAGGTTAAGCTGAGATTCGAGAGTAGGATGCACTGTCAAACAGTTAATAGATCTTTTGCTGATTACATTCAGCTTTTCATACTGTCCATCCACTATAAACAGAGAAACCAGGACATCCCGCCAGAATTTGTTTAATTGGATTACAAGCTGTATCACATTAATAATCAAAAAATGTCACCCAAAACTAAAACAAATAATGGAAAGCAGAGCGACGGGCATGTATTAAAATGATCAAGATTTATTGCACTATTATGAAACCTTACCAATACCAATGCGTTCACCAAATTGAAGATTCTCCCATGGAATTTCCCATTCTGAAGCTTCTCTTAGCATAGGGGAAATCTTCTCACTGCGACCATTGCTAGCCGGAAGCAAATCACTATCTGTGGTTTCAATCAATTCCAATGCAGATTCTTTATTGAAACCAGTACCAGAAGTCCTCTGTATTAATTTCTCATCAATGGCCAAGACATTTTCTGGCTGTATTTGGCAAAAACCATTAGCAGAGAAGGAAGACTTACGAACTTGTATCCAATCATCAGCTGAATTACCAAGAAGAAATCCCTCATTTGAAGCATCAGATGTAACTTTAGCATTTATCACATTAGTTTCTAACTCCTTTCGGTGCTTAGTCATTTGCTTTAGCCTCGTATTGGAATTAATATTTTCTGAAGCCTCCATTACAGTGGATACAAGACAATGTTCATTGCTTAACAAATTTGAATTACAGCTAGCAGCATCTACATTTGTCCCTTTCACTACTTGTTTGGGCATACTTTGTTCACTAAGATCCTGAGAACTAATATCCATGAACAAATCTGGAGGAAGTGATGCACCACTCTCCAATAAAACTGCATGCAATTTCTGAGCAAACTCCGGGTCCTTTGCTGCGCTAATAACATACTTTGAAACATTTTTAACCTTTCTCTTTTGCGCTGATGAAGGTTTTTCATGAATGTCAGAAAAGGCATCACTATAGTTAGGTGCTGAGGGAAGAAGCTTCCCAAACTCCTGCTCAGATCTCTCGGCAACATCTCTTCTGGCAAAGTCCCTCCCATCTTCATTTGTCTGACAGATCTTCATTTGCTGCCCTCGTGACACCAATTTTAATTCCCATATTTAAAGCAGCTGAAACTGCCAAATTATCAATTTCTTTGTCAAGTACCAAACACGAACCTTGAGAAGCTTCATTAAAGCCCCTTACATCCAGTGCAGACTTTAGGAGCCGGCAGCTAGGTACTTCAGCAGGAATAAGTGTTCCGGGAGCACCCATCAGATCAATAATATATTCACTGCATTATTTCAGATAATTGTACATCATCAAAACTTGTGCCAACACAAAATAAAAAATTTCACATTGGCCAGAAAACAAAACTGCATAAAGCAGAGGACAGGTTGGCACTAAAAATGATATACAAAGACTTATGTGCATTTAGTATAAAGGGGGAAATATCAACTAAGAACAGGTGCGAACAATTTTTTTAACATGTATGGCAACACGTTGAGGAAATAATTCAAGAAAAAAGGCCCCAATGTGCACAAGTTCTAGAAATGCAGTGGATAGTTACTAAAATCAAAGAAGAATTTCTAGATGTCAGAAGGAGGAAACTACCTTCCATTGTTGATTCTAACCAAGTTCACAGCTTCATCATCTGTACCGGTGTAATAGCTCCCTTTGACGAGCATGCATGGAAGATTAATTCTATCAGCTAGAACCTAAAAGCAGGAGCAGGAAACAATTTCTCTTAAAAAAGATCCAGAGACATTCATCACCAATGCAGGGAAAAATGTAAAAAGTGGCAGGATATTCTGAATAGCTAAAAGGAAAACACAATCCTGTCATAGGCTAATTTTAACATTATGGAAATAAGTTGATTTAAAACCTTAAACAGCAGGGCTCTGTGGAGCGAAAGTCCAACATCAAGTCTTCCCAATGGAAGAATGATACTGTTAAGAGAATTCCGTAACTCAGAACTTCTCAAGGTCCACATTCTCAGCATTTCTTCAGAATCAGCTACTGGACCACCCATTCTGTAAACAACTATTTCAGAAATCTTCTGAATCAAGTCACTCAAAACCAGGCCATGGCCTAAAGCTCGGGACTGCACATATATGTTATACACTCTTTTCTCGAGCTCTTGCAATTCAGGATCAAGCAACCGGTTAACCAATATTACTTCATAATCAACCTTTTCTGAAACTGATACTGCTTGAAGATCAGCCAAAGATGGCATCTTTCCTTCCAGACCAAGCGTTGGTGCAATGTCATACACATCATAAAATCCATCCACAATTTTTTCATTATAGTTTACGACATTGTAGTTCTGCAAATAGCACGCAACATATGAATTAGTTTTCCTTTTTAAAAAGAAAGGGGAATAAAACAATTAATTGGTCCTGACACTTCTCACTGAAGACATGAACAGGAACAGGAACCTTTCAGCCTGTACAGCTAATCCAACTGAGGAAAACCATAACAAAAACTAACATCAACTAGTATTCATATCCATATCAGCATTTCCTAACAATATTCTACCAAAATAATTAAACCAGAAAAATAAAGTAGAATCATAATAACAGGAAAGGAGACACTATATCTACTAATGAAAAATATACTTCTTCTCAAAGAAACATACATGTAAAGTTTATGGAAAGAAACCATCAGGAAAAGAGTTACCCAATTAGCTATAATTAAAAAAGACTCGCATTATATAGCAGAGCTTAAAGATAAAAGGAAAATTTCAAATAATAGAAACACAACCCATAGCTGACAAGTGAACAGAAAAACTTCAAGTAGTAAAAAGATGAGCAATTATTGGATAAAATGAATAAAAACCAAGAAGGAAGTACCGATGCTATATTTAGCAAAACTTCAATTAATAGAAGTAGCAAGATTAATGGCACTTGAGTCTTGACATGCAAATCAAAAACATTTGTAAACAGAAACAATAAAAAGAACTCTTGAACAATTGAGTTTCTTATCAGAATCAATCCAAGAATAATGGAGAATACAAAAGGGAAATAAATAAACATACTAGAAAATATGAAATGCGACCAAATCATATAAGAGGGGGAAAAGGAAGTTGGATATTAAAACCGGTTCAAACAAGAACTGCAATATTCCCGATAACCTATAAATGAATAAAATAGCAATATCTTTCAAATATGTGTAACAAAAAAGAATATATTACCCAATAACGAAGCGAGAATAACTCAATTAAAGCGTTGGCTTCGGGCACGGGGCCGGCGAGGCTAATTCTTTTAGCAGCGTCGATCTGAGGCACTGATCGCCAAAGCCAATTGCATCTGAAACTCTTCTTCCAGTAAATTAAAATCCACCTCATCCCCAGCCTTTCGATCTCCCCCGACCAATTCAATGGCCCCGATTCTCCCCATTGTATCTGAACCAACCAAAGATGCCGAAGAAGAAGAAGACGTCGTCGTTCCTTGTCCCGTCACGTTCGGACTCGGACTCAGACTCGGACTGGAGCTGATCACCGGCTGCACCTCCGCCAATCGTTGGTGCTCATTTAAACCACCGCCGATGTGGAGTTTCCGCAAGAGATGCTTCATTTCCGGCATCGATCATCAACGGTTTTCCGTTCGCCGTTTCTTCTTTTGATTTTTTTTAAATTTTGTTTATTGTTTTTTTTTCGGTGTTTTCTATTTTTGTATTGAATTTTATCTGCAGGCTTAATATGTTAGATTTGTCTAGAAATTAAGTTGACAAGTTAGAAATTTTATCTTGGTTGGTGGTCAACTTATTAGAAATTTCATATTGGTTGGTGGCCAAACTTTGAACATGTGAATTTCATATTTGGTGGCTAACTTGTATACATTGAAAAATTCTTTGGTAGGTGGTCAAACTTTAAACATATTGTTCTTGAAACTCAACTATAAATAGGCCTAAGTATTTCTATTAGAAATCATCCTAAAAATAAGTTCTCTCTTCCTCTTGTATTCTTCATTCTCCCACTTTGGAAATTCCAAATAATTCCATTTGTTGTAATATTGGCGATATAGTGAAGTTATCATCCGGTGTGGTGCCCGAGGAGTAGACGATATTCTCATCGAACCTCGTAAATTTGGTGTGTTCTCTCCTTTATTATTTTTTATTCGGTTCTTTTCCATTGTGTTTCAATATTCAATAGTTTGACATGTTTATCCGCTGTGCAACCTTTGTTGGTTTTAATCTTGACATTTTAGGTCAATTTTAAAACTATGTTCGTGTGGGAAATAACTCGTTTTCCCCAATAATTAGTATCAGAGCTTCGGTTGAGGTTATCCTGGTGGTTCCGTTGCTGAAAAGATACAGTTCGTAATATTGAATATTGTTCGTTAGAATTAAAATGCCAAAATACGGATCAGTTGAGACATCAAGCTCTTCATCTGGACCGGTGAGGAGGGTGATGTCAAATGAAAATTTCTCGGTGGAGTTGTTTGATGGATCCGGTCATTTTGGCATGTGGCAAGGCGAGGTGTTAGACGCTTTATTCCAACAAGGTCTAGACATCGCCATTAAGGAAGAAAAGCCCGAATATATGGAAGGAGAAAGAATGGGGAACAATCAATCGTTTGGAGTGCAGCACGATTCGATCTTGTCTTTCCAGGGAGCAGAAGTATGGCTACAAGAACGAGACTTCTGCAAGTAAGATGTGGAAAGCTTTGGAGGAAAAATTCCTGAAGAAAAGCTCTAAGAATCGTCTCCACATGAAGAAAAGATTGTTCAGATTTGATTATCAACCAGGCACCAGTATGAATGAACACATCACTGCGTTCAATGAGCTAGTGGAAGACTTATTTAGCATGGATGAAACCTTCAAAGATGAAGATTTGACTTTGATGTTGTTGTCATCTCTTCCAGATGAATTTGAGCACCTTGAGACAACGTTACTTCATGGTAAGGATAATGTTACCCTTAAAGATGTAACTGCTGCTTTGTATAGTTATGAACTCAGGAAGAAAACCAAGAAGGAGAGCAAGTACGAAGCAGCAGAGGCCATGGTGGCAAGAGGTCGCTCGAAAAGTCAAAAGCCAAAGTGGAGAGGGAGATCAAAGTCGAAGTCCAGACTGGGAAAAGATGAATGTGCCTTTTGTCATGAGAAAGACCATTGGAAGAAAGATTGTCCGAAGCTGAAGAAGAAAGGAAAAGCTGCTCCAGATGCATGTGTTGCAGAGCATGATGCACATGACTCTGACGTATCATTGGTTGCTTCATCAACAACATTCCATTCCGATGAGTGGATATTAGATTCGGGTTGCACCTATCATATGTCCCCTAATCGGGAGTGGTTCTTCGATTTAGTGGAACTAAATGCAGGAGTTGTTTATATGGGCAATGACAATGCCAGTAAAACTATTGGGATAGGTTCAATTCGATTGAAGAATCAAGATGGATCAACCAGAGTTCTGATGGATGTCTGATACGTGCCCAGTTTAAAGAAAAATCTCATCTCGTTGGGAGCCTTAGAATCCAAAGGCTCAGTAGTCACTATGAGAGATGAAGTTTTAAAAGTCACATATGGCGCACTTGTGATGATGAAGGACATCAGGAAAAATAATTTGTATTACTACCAAGGTAGTACAATTATTGGAGTAGTTGTAGCAGCTTCCGGAGGTGATGATTTGGACGCAACTCAGTTGTGGCATATGCGGTTGGGACATGCTGGAGAGAAATCCTTGCAAATTCTGGCAAATAAAGGATTGTTGAAAGGTGCAAAGGCTTGCAAATTGAACTTTTGCAAGCATTGTGTTCTGGGAAAGCAGAAGAGAGTGAAGTTTGGCACCACTATACATAATACAAAAGGTATTGTAGATTATATTCACTCAGATGTATGGGGTCCTTCAAAGACATCGCCTTTGGGAGGAAACCATTATTTGTAACTTTTGTAGATGACTTTTCCAGAAGAGTTTGGGTGTATCCGATGAAGTCTAAAGATGAAGTGCTTCAAATTTTCCTGAAATGGAAAAATATGATCGAGAACCAGACTGGTAGAAAGATCAAACATCTTAGGACGGACAATGGAGGGGAATATATAAGTGACCCATTCTTTGACGTTTGCCGTGAGTATGATATTATTCGACACTTCACTGTTAGACATACACCACAACAGAATGGGATGGCAGAGCGTATGAATCGAACACTATTGGAGAAAGTTCGATGTATGTTGTCTAATGCTGGGTTAGGCAAGGCATTTTGGGCTGAGGCTGTGACATATGCTGGCTATCTCATTAATCGTCTGCCGTCATCAGCGATAGGAGGAAAAACACCATTGGAGGTATGGTCTGGAAAACCTGCTACTGATTATGATTCCTTACATGTATTTGGATCCACTGCTTATTATCATGTGAAGGAATCCAAGCTTGATCCGAGAGCAAAGAAGGCTCTCTTTATGGGAATCACCCATGGAGTGAAGGGATTCCGCCTTTGGTGTTTAGACAACAAGAAGGTAATTTGTAGCAGAGATGTTACCTTTGATGAATCTGCCCTAGTAAAGAAGGTAACAAGTGAAGCTGTCCAGACAAGTAGTACTCCACAGCAGGTGGAGCATACTCCAAAACAGATGGAGTTTCAGCAGACGATGATCCCAGAAGTTGATGCGGTTGATTCTTCAACTCCAATAGAATAATCAGAAGATGAAGAGGTTCAAACCCAAGAACCATTGGAGACCCAGAAACACTTGCAGTTACAAGGCCAAGGAGAGAAATTCGTAGACCTGCTCGATTGTTGATATGGTGGCCTATGCTCTTCCAGTTGTTGATGATGATATCTCTATCACTTACCAGAAGCAACAAAGCTTGGAAAGTGATAAGTGGAAAAGTGCCATGGATGAAGAAATGCAATCTCTCCAAAAGAACAACACTTGGAAACTGACACAATTACCGAAAGGTAAAGAGCCATTGGATGCAAGTGGGTATTGTAAAGAAAGATGGATCTCATAACAAGAAAGATGTTCGCTACAAGGCACGGTTGGTAGCTAAAGGCTACGCTCAAAAGGAGGGAATCGACTACAATGAAGTATTTCCCCTGTTGTGAAGCATTCCTCCATTAGAATATTGTTGGCCTTGGTAGCACAGTTGAATTGGAGCTAGCTCAACTTGATGTAAAGACGGCTTTCTTGCACGGTGATTTAGAAGAGGAGATCTATATGACACAACCAGAAGGATACAAGATGGTGTTGTGAGAAATGGTTTGTAAGCTGAACAAATCGCTATATGATTGAAGCAATCTCCGAGGCAGTGGTACAGCGATTTGATAGCTTTATGAGGAGGCAAGAGTATACTAGAAGCAAATATCATTGTGTGTATTGCAAAAGCTCAAAGATGGATCTTTCATTTATCTTCTCTTGTACGTTGACGATATGTTGATTGCTTCGAAGAGTCAAAAGGAGATAGACCAAATTAAAGGCTCAGTTGAATCAAGAGTTTGAGAGAAAGATCTAGGTGAGGCCAAGAAGATTCTTGGTATGGAGATAAGCAGATAGACAGAGAGGGAAGCTTTGTTTAACACAGAATCAGTATCTGAGAAAGGTATTACAATGTTTTGGCATGAATGAAAATACCAAACATGTAAGTATCCCATTGGCTTCTCATTTGAAACTTAGTTCTCAATTATCTCCTAAAACTAACGAAGAACGAGTGTATATGGCAAAAGTTCCATATGCTAATGCAGTTGGGAGCTTGATGTATGCAATGGTGTGTACGCGTCCTGACATTTCACAAGCAGTTGGAGTTGTGAGCAGGTACATGCATGATCCTGGAGAAGGACATTGGCAAGCTGTGAAATGGATTCTACGGTATCTCCAACAAACTGTGGATGTTGGTTTAGTTTTTGAACAGGATGAAGCACTTGGTCAGTGTATGGTTAGATATGTTGATTCCGATTATGCTAGTGATTTGGATAAGCGTCGATCAACTACTGGGTATTTGTTTACTCTTGCTAAAGCCCCAGTAAGTTGGAAGTCTACATTGCAATCTACGGTGGCCTTGTCTACTACAGAGGCAGAATACATGACAGTTTCAGAGGCTGTAAAGGAAGCAATTTGACTTAACGGGTTGATGGAAGACTTGGGAGTTGTTCAAAGTCACATTAGTCTCTATTGTGACAGTCAGAGCGCTATTCACTTAGCGAAAAATCAAGTCTACCATTCAAGGACTAAGCATATCGACTTGAGGTATCACTTTGTGCGGGAGATCTTTGAAGAAGGAAAGATTATACTTCAGAAAATTACGACATCAGAAAATCCTGCAGATATGAAGACCAAGGTGGTAACAGTAATCAAGTTCAATCATTGTTTGAACTTGATTAACGTCCTGAAAGTATGAACATCTTCGGGTGTGTGGCGCTTGTGAGCGCAATTAGAGGCACTACAAATTTGGGGAGTTGAAGAAGTTGAGTAGGCTTGGTAATTTCAAGCCAATGTGGATATTTGTTAGATTTGTCTAGAAATTAAGTTGACAAGTTGGAAATTTCATCTTGGTTGGTGGCCAACTTATTAGAAATTTCATCTGGTGGCCAAACTTTGAACATGTGAATTTCATATTTGGTGGCTAACTTGTACACATTGAAAAATTCTTTGGTA